TAAGCCAGTTCATGCAAGACCCACAACGACACCATCTTGATATGGCATATCGACTTCTTTAATATCTCAAAGGGGCTCCTGGATAAGGTTTGATGTTTCCTTCCCAATATGAGCTTCATTTGATTAGTTACTGTGATGCAGATTGGGCGCGGTGCCCCACAACACTTCGCTCAGTAACTGGTTATTGTATCTTTCTTGGAAAGTCATTGGTGTCATAGAAAAGCAAGAAGCAGATTACAGTTGCCCGATCATCCGCAGAGGCAGAATATCGGTCTATGGCTGCAGCTACTTGTGAGTTTATATGACTATGATTTTTATGAAAAGATTTATATGTTGAACATCCCAATCAGCAGCATTATTATGTGATAATCAAGTCGCTTTGCACATAGCCGCAAATCTTGTGTATCATGAATGTACAAAACATATTAAAATCGATTGTCACATTGTTTGTGAAAGAATTCAAAGGAGAGAGATCAAAATCTCATATGTGAACAGGAGAATAAGTAGTAGAATTATTTACTAAGCCATTATATGTATCTATTTTCCATACACATCTGAGTAAGTTGGCATATATTGATATATATGTTTCAATTTGAGGAGTGTTAAAGGGAAAAAAAATTGTTACAAGACATTAAATAAAGAAGGGAACAAATCTTTCTAATTAATTGAATGAGATTATAGGATATAAATGCAAGCAAGATATAGACGTCTAGTTGGAAAATTAATTTACTTGACCATCACAAGATATAGATGTCTAGTTGGGAAATTAATTTACTTGACCATCACAAGACCAAAAATCGCATACACTATCAACACATTAAGCCAGTTCATGCAAGACCCACAACGACACCATCTTGATATGGCATATCGACTTCTTTAATATCTCAAAGGGGCTCCTGGATAAGGTTTGATGTTTCCTTCCCAATATGAGCTTCATTTGATTAGTTACTGTGATGCAGATTGGGCGCGGTGCCCCACAACACTTCGCTCAGTAACTGGTTATTGTATCTTTCTTGGAAAGTTATTGGTGTCATAGAAAAGCAAAAAGCATATTACAGTTGCCCGATCATTCGCAGAGGCAGAATATCGATCTATAGCTGCAGCTACTTGTGAGTTGATATGGCTATGATTTTTATGAAAAGATTTATATGTTGAACATCCCAATCAGCAGCATTATTATGTGATAATCAAGTCGCTTTGCACATAGCCGCAAATCTTGTGTATCATGAATGTACAAAACATATTAAAATGTATGATGAATGTACAAAACATATTAAAATCGATTGTAACATTGTTTGTGAAAGAATTTAAAGGAGAGAGATCAAAACCTCATATGTGAACAGGAGAATAAGTAGTAGACTTATTTACTAAGCCATTACATGTATCTATTTTCCATACACATCTGAGTAAGTTGGCATATATTGATATATATGTTTCAATTTGAGGAGTGTTAAAGGAAAAAAAATTTGTTACAAGATATTAAATAAAGAAGGGAACAAATCTTTCTAATTAATTGAATGAGATTATAGGATATAAATGCAATTAACTTTTATTATATCATCTTCTTGCTTTGAATAGCAGATCTGTAAATACTCTTGTATATATTACTACTTCACGTCTTCTGAAGATGTAATACAAAACATATAATTCTCAACTTCCTACTATTAGATATACAAACAGAAGCTCTACTCAAATTCTAACCAGCTGTAACACCCTCTATGATTTTAGCTGTGTATCTGCTTCAGAGGCATTTGCTAAAGTTTTCCATGTTGTTCAGGTACAAGAGCCATGTGAAAACTTGTGTTGGGTCATGTCATTACTGAGGTTTTACCTTCCCTGCTACTGTCATATGTACATGGTGTCAAGGCCACGCAGCCATGTCCCCAACTTCAGAGCACGAAAGTCCTAGACTTGTACTAGAAACCAACCCCGGTAATAAAGACATGGACATGATTTCTAAGAAAACCAGCATTCGGTTGTAAAGCAATTATCTAAATATTTGAATTTATCGATTTGCACATGGACCTGTAAGTCTTCCATCAAATGAAAAAACACCAGGAGAAAAGAAAAAGGCGAAATAAAGCTTTGCGTGAATAAAAGACTAAAAATTTACTAGTCCACTTCAGCAGAAAAGAAGCATAGGGTACTCTGCTAGAGTACACTGTCTGTCCAACCCTAAGACGCAGAGTCTTGTATAAGCATTGGCGCTGTACCAATCCATTAAAGGGTGCACTAAAATTTGACATGTCCTTTTCAAGGCTATGACATGGACGTAATCGCCTCTAATGTTTCTTGCTTTGAGAGCAATTCGGTGGCTCTCTCTCTCTCTCTCTCTCTCTTGCTCGCCTAACCACTGGAAATTTGGTTTTGTTTCCATGCCATTAATGTCAAAATAATGCCCCAAGAAAACGTTCTGAAGGTTGGTGATAGAAAACAGTAAATAATGGTTGATGAGGGGGTCCTATTGAACACGATGCATTCCATCTGTATGCGGTGTTACTTCTGTTTTTTTATTTTATTTCGGGAAATCGAGTGATCAAGGCAGTGTTTGGGAACGCGGTTTAACCTGCGTTCCCAAAAAATTCAAAAAATAATTATTTTTTATTTTTATTAAAATTTAATATGATTTATACGTTTTGGATCGTTTTGATGTGCTGATATTAAAAATGATTTTTAAAAAATAAAAAATCATCATTAACATGTATTTTAACACAAAAAATTATTTAAAAAACAATCACTACTACATTGCCAAACACACTCCAAATCTATGCTACAGAATAGCATTATCTTTGAAAACTATTTTGACGGATGGACGGAAATAACATGAAAAAGATAGTAAATATACGAAAGGAGAATGAATTGTTACTGTTCTGAATTTTTAAATAAATGTATAATTTTTTTAAGATTAATTATTAATTTATATGTATAAATTTTTAAAATTAATAGTAAAATTTTAATTTAAATATATTATTTAAAATATTTAAAATAAATTTAAAAATACATAAAATTAAAGTGAAAATAAAAATAAACTCATTATTAAATTTACATCATTTGATATTTTGTGAAATATAATTCATTTATAATCAAATCTAAATCGATATTGTAACAACCCCTTAACTAAGATAAAATAATAATTTCATATTAATTGAAAAATATATAATTTTTTTTTTTAATTTCTTATTTTTTCATTTGATTTTTTTTATATTAGTGTTTTCTAAGTTAGACATTATAAGTTTACAATGGTATTCTCTCGCTTTTCTTTTTTTTTTTCCTTAGATTTTTTGTAAATAAATTTTATTCTTTTTTTAATTTTTAAATTTTTCATTTGATTTTTTTTATATCAATGTTTTATAAGTTAGACGTTATAAGTTTATAATGGTATTCTCTCGTTTTTCTTTTCTTTTTTCTTAGATTTTTTTTATATATTTTTCCTTACTTTTCTCTCTTTTTCTCTCACCTTTTCATTTCTTTCCTTTCCTTTTCTACTCTGTTTATGCCTAGTCCATGGCATATGAAAGAAAAGAAGAGATAATTTATTTTATTTTTAATAGAAAATAACTATTTTATCTTTAAGGAGTTGTTTTGTTTTTATTTGATTTTTTTATTAGGATTATCAAACTTCGTTTATTCTAAAATTTTAATTATATTTTATTCAATATATATTAGGATTATCCAACTTCGTTTATTCTAAAATTTTAATTATATTTTATTCAATATATTTTAAGTTTTTTTGTGAAATTTTAACTCAATCTGATAATTAAATTGAAAATTATATCCAATAATATAACACTAGTACAATTGTGATTTTTTTATCAAATTTTAAAATTTTAATTCAAGTTAAAGCCAAATTAAAAATTATATCCAATAATATAACACTAGTTCAATTGTGATTTCTTTATCAAATTTTAAAAAAATTTAAAAAATTTTAAAATTTTAATTCAAGTTAAAGCATTATATTACAAAGTTTTACATTAATTTTTAGAGTTTTTTAATAATTTCATTAAAAATTATAAATTTTTATATATAAAACTAGTTAAAAGTTATTAATAAAATCTTGATTTGAAATATAGCCCACCCAAGTCATTGACTACACCTTCCTTGAATATAAAGGTGTTTATGTTTTTACTTTTGGCTCATGTTGTTGCGAGGCACAACTTTTAATAGTTAAAAAAATAAAAAAATAAAATTTATATGTTTTAATTTTAGTGGTGTAGCTTGACACTAAAAGTAAATAACTGTGAAAACAAATATATCCTAAATAATTTTAGTAGGCAGTGTCTCCATCACAAAATCTTGATTCCTTGTTTTATTACGAGTATGAATAAATCTAAATGCTAGCTATAAAACTCGAAAAGAAAAGAAAAATCAGAAAATCAAGAAGAAAATTTAACGAAACTAGCCCGAATAACACATTTTTCTTACGTAATTTGAAGGCTTTACGTACCCCGACCAATTACAAAACATGCAGAATCTTCTATAATTCGAGCATGACTCAATGATTATATCGAAAGATGTGAATCTTTTCGACCACTTTACACTGTATAAACCTTTTTTTTATAGGGTATAACCCTGTCCTATCATCCATATAACCTATGACTAATCACAATCGTCTGTCTCGCATGTTCCTAGCTCGGGCCAAATTTAATGAATCTGCAATGTTTAAAATGCGAAGCTGGTGGTCGATTTGACCCAAAACCATCCACCTTTTTTTCTTCCATCTTTCTTTGACAAAACCAGCAAATCCTAATTGCGATCCAACTCCTTCCTTCACGCCTCGAAACCAAACTTAGAAGCCTGGTTCGATTGACATAAAATCCACCTGCTTTGTTACAGAAACTCCATAATCAAACCAATTTGCTTGCTAGCTCAACTGACTTGGTCTCCAAATGTCCTTTCCAGAAAATGATTGAATAGTTTGCTAGTATAGTTAAATCCCATGTATATATATATAGAGGACCACCAGTGGGGCAGCAATAATTGAGCGTGATCCTCACATCTCCGATGTCAAATGAAGGTATCACTTTAAGCACCGATGACAGCAATTAGGCAGAAAATCTATATGGCATAGTAAATCATAGCAAAAAAAAATAAAATTACGCTCCCTCCTTAAGATTTCTAATCAGTCATTCACAACTTGACACCACACAAGAATATGTGGCTTGTGGTCCTCCCAACTTTTTTCACCTTTTCCTCAACACACTCTTCTACAGACCTTCATCTTAGCACTTCAAGTATCACTCCTCACCTTGCTAGATATCCCGCAATACCCCAAGTGTGTGATATCCTCCCTGAAAGAATTATGAATGCTAAGACTCTTGAAGGGAAGCGTAACTATTTGAAAGAGAAAATGATCAGCAAGGATGATTTCCAGATCGAGGATGATTTGGAAGATGACATAGAAGAAGATGAGGGTGGCGGGGGCTGTTTTGGTTTTACCGATGATGAGAAGAAGAAAGGAGTTGGGAAGAGAGGGACTGGTGGCGGCGGAGCTTCTCCGCCGTCTTGCCAAGTAGAGAAGTGTGGAGCTAACTTGACTGATGCTAAAAGGTACCACAAGAGACACAAGGTTTGCGAGGTTCATGCGAAGTCACCAGCTGTGGTTGTTGCTGGCCTCAGGCAGCGGTTCTGTCAGCAATGCAGCAGGTTTTCATGCGTTTTCATTTAGCTATCTTTCTATCGGTAGAACGTATTTTCTTTTACCAGCATGAATACAAAGAATGTAAGTTGGAAATTAAAGGGACTTGAGAAGAAATGTGCTATATCTCCACACAAACCAAATTCGTTTTCCCTTGGGCAGAGACTTCTTCATAAAACACAGTTCTTTCTTTTTTTCTTTTTCACTTGTAACATTACTAACCCTAAAGAAACTTGTTCTGATTTCAAAGTGAAGCTTAGTTAACTGAATTAGCTAATCTAAGCTCATTGTGAAGAAGTATACCCATGTGGTTAACTGAAGCTAAAAGCAACTAAAGTGTTAGAATTACATGTTTCGAATACTTGGAGACTCAAAACACGTACAATTTTCTGCTGGTAGAAAGTTGTGCTCAAAAACCCGAGGAAGAATGAGATTTCTTAAATATTGTTTAAACGTTAAATTTTCTGCAACCTGCTTTGGTTGGATGAAAAATGATAGATTTCATTAGGATTCTCCTAAAGAAGGTGAGACAGAACTAGCGGTATGTTATGACTATATGTTATGACTATAATGGTGCATGTGTTATAACAGGATTTACATCCATGGTATGAAAAGGTATACTAATTAGACTTAAAAGTTTGTAACCTAAGACAGGCTTCTGCTAATCCTGGACTCGTGATTAATCTGCTCAGCATTTATGGTCCAAATATTTTGGAATGTTAGGAAATTATTGGAGAGTTGGTCTTCGATGATGGTTCAATATGAGTTGCAAAATGGATTCTCTTTCCACTTATAAGATTACTTGAGAAATTCGAGTTTTCGTGCTTTCCCTTCCTTGCATTTCCATCTAGTGATCCTTTGACAAGAGAAGCTCTCAACAAAATTTACTAGAAACTCAAATTCAGCTCATTGTGGGACTTCTCTCCTTGCAGATCTCTCAGTGACTTGCTATGTGTATGGTTCTGGTTAAATTTCTTCCACCGTTCTATATATTTTACCAATTATGAGTCTTTGCAGGTTCCATGAGCTCCCGGAGTTTGATGAAACAAAGAGGAGTTGCCGTAGGCGTTTGGCAGGACACAATGAGCGGCGCCGGAAGAACACGGCTGAATCTTATGGAGAAGGTTCGAGCCGCAAAGGGGTTGGTACTCAACTGAAAGAAAGCCCGTGCAGGCAAGCTGATGAAAGGGGAAGATTTCAGATGAGCATCCCATCCCAAGGAAGTTCTTACAAGCGATCCCAAATCAGATAAGACCATACCAGCGGCATGCTCCCTCTCTTCTGTCAACTCATAGCTTCTTCTACCCATGTTTGGGACCATATAAAATGTGAACACTTTAGTGGGATCGTATGTTCTAAGAGTGCTTTAGCTTCTAGTAGTAGTGATGCTGTTTGATAGAGGCTGTATTCTGCGGATTAGGCCTCGAAAAGTTTGTGTAATATGGTGTTTTAAGGTTCTAACAGAAGTGGATGGACTCATAAAGCTATTATTAAGAGAATAACATCGACTATGCTTCTGCTTCTTGCGTAACTGCAAATTAAAGAACTTCGTTGGATTCAGCTTATTAAACGACGACAGGCTTGGTCACTTCCAATGCACTAAATACTTCTCCTAGCAAACTCTCGATAACTTCCCATTTTTCCGTTCCGGGTAGGAAAACTACAACATTGCTTGATCCTGCTTGGGATGGGCAGTAAGAAATTGCTTCCTGGGTCTGTAAATAAATTAGCATCATGCCTAACACAACTTCTGGAACCTAGATTACTAGCAGACAATACAATTTCAAAACTCTAACCCAAAAGCATGGTTATACAGGCATCTTTAAAGCATGGTTTACCATGGGATATATCCATGGTGTCCATTGCACCTTGGTTGATCGAGTTCATGACCAGTTCAAGACCGGTTTTGCATCAATTTGAAGCCAGAAAGAGTATTGGAATGGGTTGTTATTTATGTTTTATATTGATAGCAAGATACCACTGGATACACTAGTTAATTGGGCCAACCCCTCCTTTCGCAGGAAACCATTCAATCATCATTGTTACAGGCACAGGGCCACCAAGAAGGTCTGCTTCATTCTTCTTGCAAAAGAAAATATGACAACCAGCAACTGAAGTGGGCAGAAAGCGTGCATCAAGTTCATTAATGCACCAGGGTTAATTATACCCCTCTCACAAGGATAAGGTCACTGAAATTTTACAACTACGCAGGAAATGTCATCTGAACTCCTCCTATTAAGTGCTTCTTCAGTAAGCCGTTTTGCTGCGGACCGAGCATCCTTTATGTTCTTGATAGTATCCACAGCTTCTTGGTTGGACATCACCTGGCATCATATTGAGGAACAGATCTTAGCCCATGTAAAGGCAAAGAAATAATTTGTCCTTCCAAAAAAAAGATTTGTTTGAAAGATTAATAAGAGTGTTCAAGTACTGTTCAAGTAGAGCAGACCTTCCACAACCCATCGCTCGCCAAGATAATACAATCTGTATCATCATCGATCATCTCCATTGCAACATCTGGTTCTGAACTCAGATGTTCCTTCAAGTTCTTGTCACCAAATGCCCTAGCCACTGCCAACTGTCCATCAACACGTGGGACATCCCCTAAATTCATAAAGTTGGAATGTTAATACAGTCAGTGAATTGAAACATCTCTATAAGAAGGAGACAGTCTGAAGGTATTGAAATAGTTGGAACAAAGAAGAGCCACAGTGCTGATCGTACTGCAACGGATTTCATACTCGGAATGGATGGTCCAAAAACAGAAGAATACAAGGAGGAGGACGCGCAAGATTAGTTAGTATTTGCTCGTGGAACAGTGCAATTCCATCATTTTAAAAAGATAGCCCTTGTCTATTCATCAACAGGTTACTGGACACCAAGTCAGTGCAGTAACTCGGTGCAAATTATATCATTTAAAGTATCCACTTGCCCTATGAAAGAGAGCACCAAATACAACCAATTTTCAAAATTTCAACATGCACTTTAAGCCTCGAAGAATTGGCCATTAAAAGCAATACTGTCCTAACAATCTAATTTCCAGTGCTTCTATTCTTAAAACACAATCATTATCATGGTTTTGTAGGGTCCAAACACCTGTAGAACAACATCTATAGCTCTTCAATCTTAGCAAAACTCTTACCTGGAAAGGTTGATACAAAGCCACCTCTGTTCTCAATGTCCTCCCTTTCAGTACTTGGCTCGTGATCAACTGATAGTTGTTTGGCCACACCATTCTTGCACATAACAACTCGAGAATCACCAACATTTGCTACTACCAGCTTCTGACAATTAATCAGTATTGCTGTGACAGCCGTTGAACCTCCTCTACCCAAATCACCTGCTTTCTCCAAAATTTTAGTATCGGTTATACGATATGCTCTCCTCATAGCATTCTCTGGCTCCGTCCAGAAGTTTGGCTGCTTGTAGGGCATATTCAAACACGGAAAAGACGTTTATTTTCATCGAATCCAGCTAGTAAAGCAAGCTACAAACAGAATTAGGACAAGCTAAGAAGGGGAATTGGTAACGGTTCATTGTAAAAGTTGAAATATCAATTTGCAGCTCCATTTAAAAATGAGTGGCCATACAGTAACTAACCCTCAACCCAATCCCCTAGCCATAGTGAAAAAATTAAACCTACAAGTAGCTCAACAAATGCTGGTTCAATAATGAAGTACAATATGCAGAGTGCATGCTTACCTCCTTTAAGATAGTGTCAAACAAATGAGACCGCAAATAATCAGGAATAACATGGCTGAGATGACCATCAAATATTGCAAATAAACCAAGTTCATTGTCATCGACTTCCTTAAATTGAGCAACAACATAATCTTCCATGTCATGATGTGATTTCGCCTTTACCAAGTGAAAGCCGTGTGTTATGTTCCTGGACATCTTACTCTTGCCCTTTCCAGAATCTGCAGATGAACTTAATCCAACTTTTTCCTGCAATATGTGCATTCAAACTGGTAGTTAACTCTCACGGCTAGTACTCCATTGAAAAATGCATGCGTGATCAGTGCCAAACAGCTGAACAAACAACGTAGCCCTAATAACAGCTGAAATAGATTCCAGCGTAGTGATAATTACAATTGTTTGAAATTCCTTTGAAAGTGTTCGGAAGCCAAAAAAAATTATTATTTTTTTATTAAAAATTAATTTTTATTTATATTTTAAATTGTTGTAATATGTTCATCATAAAAATAATTTTTAAAAAATAAAAAAATATTTTAAAAACCAATTACAACATCTCTCCTAAATAAATCAAATTTAAATTACGAAAATATAATCATGAAAGTGATCTCAACACATCAGGCAATGTAGACAAACACTACATGGTAACAACCAGAAACAGGTTTTTCTCAGGAAAAGAAAATACATTTCAAATACCAAAATACATCTCCAAGCGTTCCTATGAACACATGAACCGCCAAAATTTAACCACAAGGGCCGTTACTAAAACAAATATTATCTCCAAGCCCATCATCTCAAACAAATACTACTTAGAATAAATCTAAAAATTCATGTCCTTAATCTTCAAAAACGTTGTAACCAAAGCAAGAAAAATCGATCAGTGCTCAGGAGCAAAACCATAGAGTACAGTACATTATACATGTATACATACCTTCATCTTGTGTAGGATTTCTCTGCCAGTCATGGTTAGCTACTTATCACTGGTGTGATGTGATGTGATGTGATGTGAGAATATATGGGAATTGGATGGATAGTTGTCGTTTAGAAAACCAAGAAAGAAAATCACAGTGGCCAAGAAAAGAGAGAAGAAAAAACAAGAAAGCAAAGAAAATGAGAAAGACAAGTGTCCATGAGGATCCAGCAGCTGTTGACAACACACTTGCTTCCCAGTTTTATCACCCGCCTTCATTGCATTTACTTATGACGTGGTCTTCGCTCCATTTTCACTTTTGTCTCTCTCTCCGTGTTTTTTCCCCACTATTATATTAAAATTAAAAAAAAAAACTATAAAAGAAGAGAAAATAGAAGGACAATTGTGTTAAGATGATTCTATATTTGCATCTTCTTCTTTTTTTTTAATAAAAAGCATTTTCTAGTCAGATTATATATTAATCTGAGATAAAAACAATTTTTTATATAATAATTTTAAAGGGTATTCTCAAAAAAATTTATATAATAATTTTAAAGGGTATTCTCACATTATTAAAAAATAGTTTTCTATATTAATAGAGATAAATAGTTTTTTATATAATAATTAAAAAAGATGTGCTTAAAGCTCAATTAATTATTTATTATTTTCTTAAATGAAAGGATATGATGTGATGTGATGTTTTGTCATCTCTCAATAACAGGGGGGAATTCTTTATAGTGCACCTGAAAACTAGTTTTTTTTTTATTACATGTTATTTCATTATGGGTGGGATTATTTTTTAAAAAAAATATATATAAATATGCTGGGATATGAAAAATTTGATGTATAAAATTTTTTAAAATTTTTAAATTATAATATATTTTAAAAAATAAAAAAAATATTGAAATTAAAGCATAATGGATTAACTCAAACTAATAATAGTTCATTTATGAAACTTGTAATTCAAGTTATGAAATTATAATAAAACTATAGAATTTATAACGAAAGAAATTAAAAATTTTAGTAATAGTGAATCAAATAATAAAGATCAAAAGCAAAAAAAAATTAATTTAAAAAAGAGATCAAAATTAAGTGACTTAACTAAACTTATATCAGTGGTAAGCATAATGTTGCAGGCTAGGATAAATTTTTCTGGACATAAGAAGAACAAAGTTAAGGTGACCCTGGAATTTCTAAAGAAGTGAAAGAAATTTGAGATCCGGACCATTGAGTTGACTAGGTTTAATAAGTTTGGTTAATTTAATAATATAAAAAAATATAATTTAATAACAAGAAAAAATAAGCAAACTCGAGTTAATATTTCAAGATTGTAACTCATGAAATCTCAAACTTCTACTCAATAAAAAAACTCTATTTTCAACCAATTTAAATTATAAAAATTTTATGTATAAACACTTTCAAAATATTTAAATTATGATATATTTTAAAAAAACAAAAAAGATATTGAAATTAAGGCATAATGGATTGACTCGAACTAATAATGGCTAATTTATGAAACTTGCAATCTAGGTGATTGTGATAAAACCATGGGATTCATAATTAAACAAATTAAAAAGCCCAATAATAATGAATCAAATAACAAAAGCCAAAAGCATAAAAAAAATCAATTTAAAAAAGGGATCAAAATTAAGTGACTCAAGTAAACCTATATTGGTGGTCAGCTCAGCGTTGTAGGCGAGGATAAACTTTTTTGGACATAAAAAGAATCAAGTTAAGGTGACCCTGAGTTTCTAAAGAAGTAACAAAATTTGAAACTCGGATCATTAAATTGACTAGGTTTAATAAATTTGGTTAATTTAATAATATAAAAAAGGAAACCATAATTTAATAATAAGAAAAAATAAGCAAACCCAAGTTAATCTTTCAAAATCGTAACTCATGAAATCTCAAACTCGAGCTC